TTATTATTATTATTATTATTTTCTACTACTACTACTATTGTTGTTGTTGTTATTGTATTATTATTATTATTATTATTATCTATAATTTATACAATTAACCTTCTTATAGTTTGACCTTGGTTTTGCTTCAACACTCCTACACTTGGAAGAAGACATCAATGTTTTAGTCATGTCAAGTTTTTATGCTCAATATATCAACACATAGTTATGGGAATTTACTTGGAAGAAAACACAAATTTTTTGTTCTGATGTTTAAGGTTAACTTCCTTTGGTTGGGAATTTTTTTTAATATATATATATATATACATGTAACTTAAAACACACTGCATCTTTAACCCATGTAACGAGCTTTCAGCTAATGACTCCCAGACTAGTTGGTCTTAGGGCATTAGTTGTTGAGATACCCCTATAAGCTTACTCAGGTTGCAGAAATTGATATGTAGATAGTGCAATGTTTGATTCCCTTAAGCTTTTCTCCTCAACCCATGTAACAAACGGTAGGCCAATAACTCCTAAGTCAGTTGACTTTTAGGTTATTAGGTATTAAAATACCCCTTTGGGTTTAATTGCTTTAGGTTAGGGATGTTATAAAACCAAACTTATCTACACTTTTATTATTATCATTTTTATTTTATTTTTTGCTCCTTTTTTTGTTTTGTTTTCTTTCAAATTATATACTATCCCTTTCCCTTAATTATTACCTTTAATAAAAGAATATAAATAATTTAATAATCCAATGTGCAATTTACAATCATATGTTAAAATGTGTGTATAAAAATTAAGATTTAAGAATACATGTTAAATGAGTATATGAGCAGAATTAAGTGATAACAATGTGAGAGTTTGTAAACCTGAATATTTCAAGAAGTATTATGATAGACATTGTTAAAAATGGTTACTAAGATGCATCTCAATAGTCACTTTAACAAAAGAGCTCATTTACTCAGACATCCTAGTAAAAACAATTTTGCACATGCTTTATGAAATAGAAAACACAGTTATTTTTTTCTTTATTAACTACTACCCTCTTTCCCCAAGCAAAATGAGACATTATCATCAATATTACTAGAATGGTAAAGTAAAGGAGCTCTTTTGTTAAAACCACTCTTAAGATACATCTTAGTAACCATTCTTGACAAGGTCTATCATAATACTTCTTGAAATATTCAGGTTTACAAACTCTCACATTGTTATCACTTAATTTTGCTCCTATACTCATTTAACATGTATTCTTAAACCTTAATTTTCACACACACACACTTTAACATATGATTGTGGGTTGCACATTAATTTACACACACACACTTTAACATATGATTGTGGGTTGCACATTAGATTATTACATTATTTATATTCTTTTGTTAAAGTTAACAACTAATAAAAAGGGATAGTATACAATTTGAAAAAAAAAAGAAGCAAAAAAAATAATAATGATACTAAAAATATAAATAAGTTTAGTTTCGTAGGCTCCCTAACCTAAGCAATTAATCCTGAAGGGGTGTTTTAACACCTAATATCCTAAAATCAACTGACTTGGGAGCTATTGACCTAACGCTTGTTACATGGGATGAGGAGAAGAGCTTAAAGGAATCAAATATTACACTATCTATGTATCAGTATCTACAACCCAAGTTACTAAGCTCTTAGGGGTGTTTAAACACTTAATGTCTTAAAACCAACTAGTTTGGGACTTATTAGCCAAAAGCTCG